GGATCAGGTTTCAAGGGGCTGAGTCTAGCTTCATGATGTCTGCTGTCAGCAGGTTGACTGACATCTAGGTAGCCACACCCAAGGGCACAGTAAGATAAGGGGACACACAAAGGGTGTTTCCATGGAACACTCTATCCCAAACAGGGCAAGGGGTAATATTGCAAAGAAACAGGTGAGCATAGCTCCACCCGTGGGGATGTAGGAAGACAGGCCCATGCACGAGACACCCTCCCTGGAACCCAAGAAGGGCAGGGAAGTCTAGCAGCATGCTGCTGCCTGACTGCCTCAATCACCCAGCCGGGGAGTGACTCAGTCACATGCAAGGTTGGTCTCCCACATTCCAGAACCATCTCTCCCTCCCAGCTGCTCACATCAGCAGGTGTGCATTGTCCAAGTCCTTCTTGGTGTGGGATGCCCTTGGTCCCCCTTCCCTCTGTCCACTGCTGCCTTCCCCATGAGATACTGCTCCGTACATGATTGTTGCCTTAAGGTTAGCCCACATTTTCTTACATTATAATTCTACTTTTCATTCACCCATTTAACTTTGTCTTGAAGATGACCTCATTATATGCACAGGTCTTTGATCACATATATTTTTAAAATAATAGTGACAGTCATTTGGTTGTGGTGGTTTGGATTTCTTGGCATTTTTGTTTATCTTGAGTAACCGAATAAAGAAACTTACTCTTCAATTCCTGTGGTTTTTTACTAATAGTTTTACACTAAATATTATTTTCTGACATTCCTCCCATTCTCTCCCTCTGCCTTTAGAAAGACAGTTTGAAGGGGACCATAATTGCCACCTCTGTGATAGCAGAATGAGAGTGGTTTATAAAGCATGGCCACTGAAGGGAATAATCAGGGCTAGAATCAGCGTTGGGATGAATGTTTAAAGAAATCGATCCTAAAACTTTTCCATTACTATTTCTGGAATTATTTCCCTGCTAATTATGCTGACATGTCCGGGCATTCCTAAGGCCTCAGAAGAGGAAATAAGGATACAGTCTCACTGATTGGCCACAAGATGGCACTGTGAGTCCACTGGACACCACTGATCTCTAGGGAGAGTCTGGAAGAACAGCCTAGAATGGAAAGGGTTAAGAACACCTTGGGCTTTGGATCCCATATCAGGCTGGTGTTGAGAAGCTTTTATTAGAGCTATGGGAGGGATACGAGGTGCCTCTAAACAGATCCATAGTTAAACAATGTTGGCAGGATAGCTACAGGTGTCAGGGCAGCTGTAGATGAGCACACACTGCCCCAGAGGAATGTGGGAAACCATGGGCCAGGTTTGGCCCCAGCTCAGCACATTGCTGCCACAGCAACCTAGCAGCCACCTAGGCCATGGATCCTCTCACCCCAGGCTTGTAGAATGGCAGCTGGCACTGACTGCATTTAATTAGGTGACAGGTGCCCATTATTATCCTTCTGAAAGAAAGAGATTAGTAAGTGCACCTCAGAAAAATATGTGGAGGAACTTACCTCTGTGACTATCCCAGCCAAGCCCCCAGCTGATGTCTGTCTTGAAAATCAGGATTGGGTACATGTTCTGAGGTGTTGAAGGTTAAACACCTCAGAAATGTGAGGCAAGAGTAAAATGTAAATTTTATTTGAGAGACAGAACAGAGAGAGAGAGAGAGAGAGAAAGAGGGAGAGAGAGAGAGAGAGAGGGAGAGAGAGAGAGAGAGAGGGAGAGATAGATAGATAGATAGATAGATAGATAGATAGATATGTAGGGGACCCAGAGCTAGTGCCCATGGGAGTGACTGTGTCTTGCCCTTTATAAATTTTACATTTCCTTTCTTCTCGTGGCTATGTGACCAAAAGGCAGGAAAAGAGCCTTCTGGGGGTGATTGCTTGTGTTGAAAAGTGCAAACCATGCTCTGCCCAGAGGTATTAGCAACTGGTTGATGGGGAAGTGCTATCTAGTTATTTTTTTGCCCTCTTTGGTAATCGCCTGTCTTTTGGTTGGGAGGATATAATATGTCTAGAGCATTACCTGATATATATAATAAATTGTAACTGTATATTTCTGTTGTCTTATAGCATATAAATGCCTTATTGTTGTAAACTAAAACATTCATATCTAAAAATTTATCCTATTTTATTACTGAACATGGAATACTGTTGTACTCATGATAGAAAAATTATTCACAGTGTTTCACATGCATTTGGTTTGTGCAGAGAACCAAAGTATAAATGAATTCTGCATAAAACTTGTCAACTTATGTTACACTGCTATGCGTTAATCCTTTAAAAAAAAAAACAATTGTTTGGCACAAATTGGAATAACGGATCTGCTCTTTTTCGCAAGGATATTATCTTTTCCACTATCAGAGTGGGAGGGGCTTCCACTATCATCAAAATCTGAATAATATTGCTCACTAACAAAGTGCTTCAAAACTTAGTAGTAGAGGAGGGGGGGATAGTAGAGGATAGGAAGGGCAGCAGAATACAACAGACACTAGTATGGCAGTATGTAAAAAGTGGATGTGTAACCGATGTGATTCTGCAATCTGTATACGGGGTAAAAATGGGAGTTCATAACCCACTTGAATCAAATGTATGAAATATGATATGTCAAGAGCATTGTAATGTTTTGAACAACTAATAAAAAAGTGTGAATAAAGAAAATGGAAAAAAAAACTTAGCAGTAGAAAATATCAATTGAATTATGGTTATAGGTCCTGTTGGGTCAGAAATGAGGACAGAGTACAGAGGGGATGGCTTGCCTCTACTTCATGTTCTCTGGTATCTCATCTAGGAAGACTCAAAGTCATGAGGGGAACTTGATGGCTGGGTACTAGAATCATTGGGAGTCTCATTTACACCTGAGCTGAGATGTCTCGCACACTGAGCTAAGCAGGACTGTCAATCAGAGTGCGTAGATGAGTCCTCTCCATGCAGCTGTGCTCCCCCAAATCATGGCAGGCTCAGGGTAGTTAAACATATAACCAACAGCTTGTGACTCCAGTGCAAGTGTTCCAGTGGGCAAGGAAGAAACCTCACTGCCTGTTATGACCCAGCCTTGGTGGTCACAGAGTATCACCTCCATCATGTTTTATTGTTTGAAGTAGTTACAAGTCTATCCAGATTTCTAGGCAGGAGACATAAACCTCACACCTTCATGGGAGACATGTAAGAGCTTATAGCCATTTTTAAAATGCTTCACCCCTCAGTGTTAAAAACTGAAGCCTAGAATCCTTATAGAAGGAAATCTTAATTCATTTCCTCTCTGTTTGGGCCTCATTATTATATCACTCACTTTTTGTGAGAAATCAGATCTCTAGCCTCCCTATCATGCCTGGAATGTTCTGGCAACATGGTGGCAGATTAGATTTAACCTATTAGAAATTAAAATACAGCCTGTCAGACTTTTATATTATGACTTAAATATAGGACAGGAATGTGCAGTTGTAAATGTTAAACAGCCATGGTGGACACTGAAATCAAAGGTTCAGGTGGCCACTTGTCCTTGATAGATATCAGATTTATTCCCAACATCACCATGTCTTTGTCCTTCTAGGATTTCGTGAAAGGAGATTTTTCATTGTATTGAGAGTTAACCCTTGAAAATTGGCCTCTGACAAAAAGACATAGTGTGAAAATCTCTATAGTTAAATAAAATAAGACTGATCAGAAAATATATTAATCTAGGTACACAGGATCAAATGTGAACTCAACATAAAACCATGAGCTCCAAAATATAGAAATTTTTAAAAATCCAAGCATTCTAAAACAATGAAATGGCAATATTTACTCTAGTAAAGAGCACGCAGGACATCTTTATCATGTCATAGTGCACTTTGGGTCAGATTAGAGTCAGTCCAGATATTTAAAGTGTGTGAGAGTCCTAAATTCCTCAGGTAAAGATTTTCAAGGAAAAGAAGACTTGTATACATGAGATCATTTTATTTTTCCTCTCTGTATCATGTTTAGGTTGGAACTTGTTAAGAAAGCGGGGTGGTAGAGTGGGAGAGCAGATAAGATAGCTAGCCATTTATGTGCTACAGTGGCTTGAATTTAAATGTGACACGTTTTTTTTTGCACTGTGTTCTCAAACTGGTTTGGTATAATGACCTCTGTAGCTTACATTTCAGATGCAAGCCTTACACACACACACACACACACAGAGAGAGAGAGAGAGAGAGAGAGAGAGAGAGAGAGAGAGAGAGAGAAAGACTCCTGCAGAGAGGATTGTACCCTGAGCTGGGGCCAGTGAGAGTGGGTATATCTTGCCCCTTTAGAGATTTTACATTTCCTTTCTTCTCACTCCCCTCCTCCTCTTATCTTGCCTAGGGCAAGGAAAAGAGCCATCCAGGGGGAGATTGCTTGTGTTGGAATATGCCATCCTTCCCCTCCTCTGGAGGTTAGCAACCAGTTGATGGGCATGTGCCATCAACCTGTTACTTTTTCTTTGATGATCACTACCTGTCCTTTGCCCCCATCTCACTTGCCCCTGTCTCACTAATTGTTTTCACATTTCAGTTCCCAGTTACCCAGTCCAGGGTTCAGAATATGTGAGAGTGAGTCTGGGGGTGTGAGGTGGTCTGCTGTGGGTTTAGAACAAAGAGCCACTTGTTGAACAGGCACAAGCCTATGAGCTCTCATTTCTGCAGATAATTTGTCAGAGGAGTTTTGTATCTAAAATACGTTACTGAATAAGTGTACAGTCTGCATATATAATTCTGTCTCTGTGGAATATCTGTTGTTATATATTTTATACATCACATGTATTTTACATATTATATATTTTATATATTAAGTCAATAGAAACCCCTTGTTCTTTATTTTTGGAAAGAACACGGAATGTGAGACCTCAGTATCCTGTAGCACAAAGGCAGAAATTTATGACCCATGCATTGTTTTTGTTCACTACAGGCTTATAAATATTTAAACATGTCATCTATGTATTTTCTAAAGTAAATCATGTGTTCTGAAGTTGAGGGGATAGATAGAGGAAATGATGTCACTGTGGTGACAAGGGACAGCCCTCTTCCTCTGATGCTGCTAGCAATGACCCTGCTCTGGTGAGCCTCAGTCACTCCTGACCTGTATGGGCACCAAGGTCCTTTTCTGGGTGGGCTTCTGTCTCCTGGGAGCAGGTAATTACTCAGAACAAGCAGGTTCATTGTATGTGTGTGGGTGCATATGTGTGTATTCACATGTATTATGTGTGTGCGAGCGTGCGTGTTGACTATAAGATTTTTCTCATTCTTTTCCCATCTTCTTTCTCCACAGACCACACCCATGCTGGAGTCTCCCAGTCCCCCAGGCACAGGGTCACAAAGACAGGAGAGAACATAGCTCTCAGGTGTGATCCAGTTCCTGGACACGTTAGCCTTTACTGGTACCGACAGACCCTGGGGCAAGGCCTGGAGTTCTTGATATCTTTCCAGTATGAACGTACAGCAGATAAGTCAGGGATGCCTAGTGAGCGGTTCTCTGCTGAGAGGCCACAGGGATCCTTCTCCACTCTGGAGATTAAGCTCACAGAGCCGGGGGACTCTGCTGTGTACCTCTGTGCCAGCAGCTCAGCCACAGTGTGGCACAGACTCCTCTGTCCTGCTCACAAACCTCATCCTTCTCTGTCCTTGAAGCTCTGAGACACCTAGTGTTCTTTCTTTGCTGTTTTTCCTACAAGGGAAACAGGAGGACTTGGACATCAGCTGTCTTTTGAATGGAAAGAGACCACAGAAGCACTCCCAGGCACTGGGCAGGATGTGGGATTCTGAGATTCCTTTCAAATATTTTATAGCATTTTCTTTGCCTCTGTTTCATCCTGTGGTCACATCCATTAGGAGGGCGATTCCTTTGGCTTTGTGTTGTTTATGGCTCTTGGGGAGGTTTCTGTGAGTCACTGGCATCCAGAAATCATTTAATGGCTCAGCTCTTCTGCTCACCGGCAGCCCACGACAGTGAGACCAACAGCAGGGCTCGCCCAGCTTTCAGGGCATCACTTTATGAGTCCTAGTGAAGCCAGAATTAGACAGGCAGTCAGCATACATAGGTGAATCGAGTCAGGTCGGATCAAGGAGGCCAAGTTTGACTGAGTCTGGGAAGTTGGAGACTGTCCCCTGAGGGATTGAAATGTTAATTCCTTCAGAGCCCTTCCTCCACCCTTACCAAGAACCCCCTGCTCCAACCTGTTGCTAAGATAACCTGTCCCAGGAATTGCCCCTCCCTACAGAGAGCTATAAAGGTGTTAATTAATGTGTCCTGGGCTCCTCCATCCTGCCCTTCTCCCTTCAACCCACCTGACTGTCCCATCTAGTGAGCACTCCTGGGTCTAGTCACATACTCAGGAAGGAGAAAGATGAAGGGAAGAGGGCAGGAGAACAAAGGAAGCCTACCACCTATAAAAAGGGCAGAGCACCACGCTTCTTAGGATACCAGCTATGGCCCCCTTCTCCCTCCCAGGAGAAGTCTATGTTACCCCTTTTTAAATAAACCCTGCTTTATATGCTTGCCTTGGGGTGCTTCTCTAATGTTCAAACTTCAACATGTGAGGAAGCAGAACTCATCACTGAACGCTGGCGGTATCACTAGGAAGAAGGTGTCATTGAAGGCTAATTGTCCACATGCAACTCTTTCAGTCTAGTTGAAATGAAAAGCTCTAAGATTAAACAGCCTGTGATCAGCCCATGAGAGAAGTCTACATCATTATTAGGGGCTATCAAAAGGAGGAGACATTTCTTCTCCTGAAGATGGTAGCCAACATGATGGAGCCATGATTTGGTTTTGGGAATCCAAGGAAGACTTGGTCTAACCTAGGGTGGAGCCAGGGATGCAGGAGCAGATGCTTGGAAATGGAGATGGTCCTTTGGGCCGACACAGCTCTGTAATCCAGCACAGAGTCTCCTGGTACACTGAGCTTGTCTCTGCACCAGCCTGCCTTTAGCCCTCTCTGCTCCTCTGCTTCTTCCAGAACCATCTCTCCCTCCCAGCTGCTCACATCAACAGGTGTGCATTGTCCAAGTCCTTCTTGGTGTAGGATGCCCTTGGTCCTCCTTCCCTCTGCCCACCGCTGCCTTCCCCATGAGATACTGCTTTGTGCGTGATTGTTGCCTTAAGGTTAGCCCACATTTTCTTACATTATAATTAACTTTTTATCCACGTATTTGACTCTGTCTTAAAAAATGATCTCATTATTAGCCCAGTTCTTTGCTCATTTATATTTTTGAAGTAATGATTTGGTTATGGTGGTTTGGATTTCTTGGCATTTTTGTTATCATGAGTAATATTATACTTTAATTCCTGTGTTTTCCTTACTAATAGTTTACAATAAATATTATTTCCCGCCATTCCTCTCATTCTCTCTGTCTTTAAATGATAGTTTGAAGGAAGAAAATCTAAGACAAGAACTGCCACGTCTGTGAGAGAAGATGAGGGTGTTTTTTGAAATGTGGCAAATGAAAGAAATATTCAGGACTAGAATCAGTGTTGGGATCAGGGTTTAAGGAAACTGATCCTAAAACTAATCTATTACGACTTCTGAAAATCTTTCCCTGCTAATTATGCAGAGAAGGAAACAGTCTCAGGAAATAGCCACAAGATGGCACTGTGAGGCCACTGGGCTCCTGTGGTGTCTAGGGAGAGTCTGGGAGAGCACACAGGAGGGAAGTGGTTAAGAACAGCCTGGACTTGGATCCCACATCAGGCTGGTGTGAGAAGTTTTCAGTTATTCAGCTACCTAATCGCTGGGAGGGGTAGGAGGTCCCTCTAAGCTGAGATGCACAGTTGAAGAATGTGGGCAGGACAGCTGCAGGTGTCAGGGCAGCTACAGATGGAGCACAAACTGCCCCAGAGGGAGGAGGGAAACCACAGGTGGGGGTGCCCCAACTCAGTGCACTGCTGCCACACCCACAGTCCCCCAGTTCTTGCTAAGCAGCAGCATCCATGAGTGGAGTGGTTGATTTGCCTGAGCCAGTGGGGAGGCCCCTGGGCCAGGGAGAACCCACAGGGTGTGGAGGAGTGGCATGAGGGCCCCACCTCTCAGGTGACTGGAGAGCAGCCTCAGAGCCCCAGCTGTCATCCTGTGGTCACAGCATTAGCTGGGAGAGCTCCTTTTCATGGGGACCTGCATGAACCCCAGACTCTTCTGTGTGACGCTTTGTCTCCTGGGAACAGGTGAGTTCTGCAGCTGCTGGAAAACCCTGTCATGGCTTTGCCAAGTCCAGGCTCCCAACTTCCCAAACCTCTGCAGATACAGACAGTTTTTCAGTCTTGACTTTGCCTATGCTCCCTCTCCACAGGCCTCGTGGACGCTGTGATCACCCAGAGGCCCCGACACCTTATCCTACACACGGGAAAAAAGACAACCCTGGAGTGTTCTCAGAACCTGAACCATTATGCAATGTTCTGGTACCGACAAGACCCAGGGCAGGGGCTGAGGCTGCTGCACTACTCAGGCAGTGTTGGCAGCACAGCTGAAGGAGAAGCCTCCCAAGGGTCCAGTGCCTCCAGGGATCAGAAGGAGCATTTCCCCCTGACCCTGGAGTCCCCCAGCACCAGCCAGTCCTCCCTGTACCTCTGTGCCAGCAGCGAAGCCACAGCAGGGCACAGCCAGCTGCTCTCTGCACAAGAAGCGCAGCCACAGGGTTCAGGTGGACTCTCCTTCCAGAGCCCCTGCCTCAGCCAGCAGAAAACATTATCCTGAAGCCCCTCCAAGACTGCCAGCCTCAGCCCCATGGACCTCGTGCAGCATGGATATGAGAGCTAGGTTCACTAGTGTGGGTAGGGGAGGTGAATACGCATACCATTTTATGTCATTTTGCTCAATTAGAAATGTACTAGCAATTGAGTTAAGGAGAGAGACCTGAGCTTCCAACATACAATTTCTATTCCATTTTCTTTTCTAGGGAGAAAAACAATAAAAAAAAAAAAAAAAAAACCTAAGCAGATTTAACTTCTGGGATGATCTGTGATTCCACAAGTTTAAATATATTATAAAATGTCACCTTTTCTTTAATTCCATTGGATTCCATGCAAGTGTTATCTGAAAATAATTGAAAAAATCTCAATAACACATTTAAAAATGCATATAGGATTAAACCACTTATAGGAGATTTTAGCAGATGTCCCAACAGGGTTATCAAAAGGAGATACCTACCTCAGTCTTTCCCAAAGACCTCTGGAGACTGAGTAGTGCTTGTCCTCTTCTGACGGTCGATGAAGATAGTAACCTAATTCTTCAATTACTTTGGCGTGAGTTAAATAATGAGCCCCTCCATGCATTTCTTGTGAAATGATTGATACATAATAATATTGGCAGCTGTTCTCTTTTCCTCCAGCCCTTCTCTCTTCTTAGCACCTACAGGGAGAAGCCCACACTCAGGAAGAAGGTTTCTTAATTGAGATCCGTTATCTGCAAGACCATGAGGCCCATGGCTGGGCTTCACAGGACATGCAAACCACAGGTGGCATGTGCCCTTTGCTTCTCTGCGAGGCTGCCTTAGCACTGGCTCCTGCGTGTGAAGAGGGGAGCAAATGGCTATTGGTAAAATGTCAATTCACCAATTGACCCACCTGGTAAAAGCCCAAATGAAAGGCTGAATGGTTAAGACTGATGAGTGATCAATTCTCCAAATGAAGACATTTATAGGAGTTCATAAATGAGTTCAGCAGCCTTTGGGTATTTTTTTTTTAAGTTTGTGTTTGTCTTCAGTTTTTATTCTGGAATCATCCTCAGATTATTTTTTTTTTTTTTTACAAACTTGTTAACTGGCCTTATTTTGATGCTGAATTTGGATGCTTTATATTTCAGCCACTGAACACTTCTCATAATATTTTATGCAATAATGTGTTATCTTTGGTAATTTTGTAGGATAAGTTTTAAATTGGACAGAATAAAATAGGAGCATACATCTATACACATCTCCCATCATTTAGCATTTAATTTATTTTCTTTGATGTAATTTTTATTAAGGTATAATCAGGAATAAAGTGTTCAAACCAATATGTGGACTGCTTGATGAATTTTGGTAAAAGCAAACCTCAGTGCAATACCAATTGAAATCACAATAAAGAATATGTCTATCACCCAAGATAGCTTCCTCGTGCTCCTTTCCAACTTATTTCTATTCAAGAGGTAACCATATTTCTGATTTCTATCATCATTGATAAGTTTTGTTTATTCCTGAATATCATAGAAGTAGACTTATGTGCCACCTTTTATTAATTAATATTCCTTGAAAATTGATATTTTTTGAAATGCATTCATGCAGCTATGTTTACTTTTTCTTACTGCTGAGGAGTCTTGCCTTCTGTAATGGACCAGGATTCTCTATTTTCTTTCAGAGCAATTTAGCTGACACCAGTCTTCAACTCTGGTAAATAAAGCTGCATGGAATATTCTTGTAGCAATTCTTTGTGAATGTGAATTAACTTCCCTTAGGTATAGGCATAGGAGTGGGATTGCTGACTTATGCTGTAGGTGCCTGTTTAATGTTTTTGGGAAACAATCTAACACTTCTCTGGAGTAGCTTCTGATACATTATGCTAAAGGATGCGAGCTTCCGGGTGCCCACCCTCACCACAGTTCATTCTCAGTCTTTTCAATCCTTCTGTTCTAGTGAGTCTGCAGTGGAGTCTTTTGATGGTACATTACTGAGCCTGTCTTGTCACAAAGTGACAAGTGCCCTTTCTTTTTTTCTTAATAATGTCTTTAAATGAACTGGATTTTTAAAATTTTTGTGAAGTCTGCTTTAGATCTTTTTCTTTTATGCCCCGTGACTTTGCATCCTAAGACATTTCTGCCCTCCCCATGTGGTGAGTTGCCCTTTTCTGGTACTTGTTCAACTGCTCCACTGTAGCAGCCTTGTGGCTTGTCCTTTGTCATCCGCTGAAAAGGTTCCACCTCCAGAATCACAAGGTGAGCGTCCCTCTGTCTTCCCTCAGTTTGTTATCCTGCTATTGACATTATTAGCATCTTCTTTCCATTGGTCACTGTTCCTTCTCTTCCTTGGGGCCCAGGGAGGGGCACAGCTCCTGGGGGTGGGAGGGTGTTGCTGCAGCGGGCATCCAGATGGAGCAACATGGTGTCCACCTGTACAGAATGTGAATATGCGCTGCTGCAGCCGCCCCTCAGGCAAAGCAGGTGATCTGGATCTCCTTTGATTGCTATGTCCCTAAGCCACACTGTTTATTTTCACATTGCCTCTTTCTCAGTTTCTCCTGGCTCTTTTAGCAAGGATAATTGCAGCATGTTAGAAATTTGTGCACTGTTTAAGGCAACGCATATTCTCAAGGTTCATTTCCCCTTGTTTATCTTTTAGTTAGGGTATTGGGAAGACTGAGGAGGGAGAATGAATGGATTATTTGCAAAGCTCCGAAGGCTAAGGGAAACTGGCAAGTAAAGAAGCAGCACCTGGGCCTAGGATTAGTGGGTGACTTTTATTCATGTTGGCCTCAAATAAAGATCAGAAGCTTTGAAGCCCTGGGTAGTTCGTATGATGTGGCTTCAATAGAAAGCTTTCTACAAGGCACTGTGCCATTTAGAAGAGAAAAGCAGGTACTGGGGAATGCATTCTAGCAAGAGAGGTGCCAGATCTTGCAAACCAGGAAGGTTGGTTGCCCTCCCTCTCTCCACACTCTTGACATTGTCTTCCCTAAGCCAAATTCACTTAGGAAGGAGAAGAAAGGGGACTTAGTTACTATAGTCCATCAGGGTCAGCCTTTGAACACAGGATGGATATGGAAGGAAAAACATAAACTCTGTACTATGCAATGCATAGGATGATCTTTAGGGCGGTAAATTCCAAACTACCTGGTTCTATATTGTAGCTGTTCAAGTTGCAAAATTGTTTTAGGGGAACCCTTACTACTAATAATTTAGAAAACTCAGGCTCCCTCTGGATCAGATGTAATAAATTTTTGCAACTCTGCGTCACTGGAAAATCAGGAGAGGAGCTGGGAATACAGTCTGGGAAAGGAAAGTTTAGAGAGAAACCTTGGTTTGAATCCTGCATCATAGAGACAATGTGAGGAGCCCAGGCAGAGCTAGAACAGGAGAGTTTAATCATAGGCTCCCAGTCCTCGGTTCCTGGGCAGGTGCCCAGCAAGGACCCTGCAAGCAGTAGGGGAGGAGGAGGGAGAGAGAGATGGATACCATGGGTTCCAGGACTGCAGGAAGCAGCTCTCCAACAAGGAGCAGTGAGACAGGGGTGGGAGACACTTCAGCTCTCAGCCAGGGGTACCAAGCCTGAGCCCAAAGGCACAATGCTTCTTCCTGAAGCTGCATCATGAGCCCCAGACTTTTTTCCTGGAGATACTGTGCCTGAATCCTCCACTTTCCCCTAGGAAGGCACCCCAGACTCTCTCATTCTGCTCTTTCTCTGTCAGCTTTCTTCACAGGCCGAGTAGAGGCTGGATTCAACCAAATTCCAAAACATTTGATCAATACAAGACAATAGCAAATAACACAGATGTTTTCCTATACCTGGGCACCTCAGTGTGTCCTGGTTCCAACAGGCCCTGAGTCAGGACCCACAGTTCCTCTTAGTTTTATCAAAATGTGCAGAAAGCAAAAGGAAATGCCCCTGTCAGATTTTTCAGCTCAGCAGTGAGCGGAGCGAGAGCACCGTGGAGCTGGGAAAGGCAGCCAGGCATCCCTCTGTTCCTGCATCTTGCACAGCCCCCAGAGTCACAGATGTTCTGTGCAGAGTCCTAGGCTTGGCGCTGGCAGGCAATGCAGGGCCTTCTACTCAGGCCTTTCTTCTTCAAGGTTTTGCTCCTTCAACTGGGTCAAAGGCATTTTGGTGTCCTGCTGAGCTCAGCACACACCCAACCTGAAGAAGCCAAGCTCGCCTGTGTGCACCAAAACTTTCCTCCTCTCCACTAGCACCTTCTGTAGCTTATCCAGTCCAGGTGTTCATTAGGAGAGCGAGCCCTTAAGGTGGGCTAGATTCTCTGTAAACACAAAATGTTTTTAAAGTTTTACAACAATCATGCAAATAAATATTCTTATTTCCTTCTTATACGTGAGAAGCTCAGGGTCCATAAGCCATTTCCCCCAATGCCTCGTGAGTTTTCGGAAGCAGAACTTGGAGACAGACTTGTCTATGTGTACAAATTCTGTATATCTTCCACACACTCCGCTGCTCCATCATTACCCTCTGCATCCTGGCCCGCAAGAGGAAGTCCCAGCGCTGCCCTCCTGCATCCAGCTGTGCAGTTGAAACCTCGACAGTCATCACAGGTCATTGCCACAGCCCCTTTCTGACCCTCCGAGGAGCATATGATTTTACACTGACTCTTCTTCATTTGTTTGCTCTTCTCCTGGGCTCTCCTCTTCTGCAGCTTATGTGTTTATCTCTTATTGTGCACTTTTATGTACAAATATTTGATGAAATGCAACTGAAATGATAGTTTTCTTTGGGTTTCAAATAAAATCCTTTCTCAAGTAAATGCCTCAAAATGTTTCCTTACTTTAATACAATTTAAATTTTGTTTTTCCCAATTAAGAATAAATGTATTGAAAGGTATATTTTTATGTAAGAAACAAAGTAGGGACCTGGTGTGTGTGTGTGTGTTGTGGGGGGGGATAGGTTTTCAATGTGGACAAAATAGCCTATACAAGAAGGTCCATGAAGGAGAAAACCTGAGATTTGGGAGGAAAGATGGAGGGCAAAAGACATAGGAATCTATAGGGCCACAGTCCACAGAAGAGAACATACAGGTGGGGGCTGTGACTATAAATTAAATGTAGTAGAGGGTAGAGGGCAGGGACAGTGACATAGCCAGCTGACTCCACTGAGAGTCAAGTCTTAGTTGCCCAACACACAAACTAAAGACATTCTCCCTCCCTCCAGTCCCCTGACCTGGGGCACCAGGCTGCTCTATTCTGTGACCCTTTCCCTCCTTGTGGTGCTGGGTCATCTAAAACCCTCACCTGGGCTCAACAGGGACCGATGTGAGCCTTTACATCATATCAACAGTGTAGGGACCCTCCTTGGCACTGTCTCCAGAGTCAGATTCCCTCCATCAGGGTCTCCACACCTCCTGGGATGACCCGGACCACAAGACACAAGGCAATGAGACCAGGGCAGAAAGGGATATTGAGATTGCAATAGTTGTCTGCGACTATAAGTGCAGGCATCAATGGGACTGAAAATAAGCTGACGGCAAGAACAAAGGCGAAATCCCTGAGGGCTAATGACATCTGGTCAAACCAAAGATGTTGCCCTAGTGTGTGGCAGACCCTCCCAGATCTCTGTGCCATATATTCCAGCAGTCACCCCTCAGCCACCTCTCTCTGCACACAACACTGCAGAAGGTAGGAGTGGCCTCATCTTCATGAGGACACCAAGCAGTCAAGGGAACACGGTATCCTAGGATCCTCTGCTAGACTGCCCAGGCTGTGGCCCCCTGAGCTCTAAGCAGTCCTGCAGATGGCACTCTGCCAGTCCTGCAGGTAACACTTTTCCCCAGGCCAGTTTCAGTGGAACAAGGGAACACACTGGCACTGTGATCAGTGGATGCAGTCTTCCCTTCCACGCCCCTCCTGCAGCAGGAGGGTCCCTGCTCTCAGTAGAACTGCATCAGCTCTGGCCTCAGCAGAATATCCTCTAAGTCACTGCCCACAGAACAGAATGTTTAGTTGAAAATAAACATATACACACACCATGGAGACTGCGGAGCTGTCACCTTTCCCCACTGGCTGTTGCTGATTCCGTCTTCCCCACCGGATGACCATCTCAGTTTCAAGCCTCCCAGACTGTGTCTGTCCCTCTCTGTTCCTTCCTGACCCTTCCCCCACAGCTTGCTTCATTCCTGAAAGTCCCTGGGTCTGCTCTTTCCTCCCACTAAAAAGCTCTTCCTCTTCCAGGCTGGATTCTCTAGGTCAACTCCTCCCTCCTTTTCTGTTCTCCCAGATCCATACTACCACCTCCTTAGGGAAGTATTTCTTCAATCATTTCACTAGGCCACTCCTTTATGATAGACATTCACACCTTCTAATATTCATAGCATTTAGCACTGTGGTTGTTTTACATGAATTTTACATGAATTTGCGTGTCCATTTAACTTCTCTTGAGCTCTACACTGGACACCTCATTATTGTAGGGACTATGGCTGTATTTGACCCCCATTTTTATTGCCAATACAGGAGCAGTTCTACTACTAGTGGCCAATTGTTAGAGAATGTGTGAATAAAGACAGACCCCAAGGTTCCAACTCAGCCTTTTCAGAGGTCTGAATTCATCATTTGGGAACTTATACCCCTTTGCCTTTTGGGATCCGGGAAGTCCTGGAGAGAGTTGAGAAAGCTCTGTGGGGGGCATGTACCTGGATCCTAAGACTTTCTGCAGAACTGAGCTTCTTCCCCTCACCTTCTTGAGCTTGTTCTCCTTCTTGATCTTCTTTCCTCATAGGTCTCTTGGATTTTAGAATTTCCCAGACAGAGAAGCTAATCACTGGCAGAAGGATCAAACACATTAGAGTTAAAAAGTGAGGGAATAGAAAATGGATGACCTCCCTAAGAGGCTAGGGAGATTTCCCCCAGGCAGAAATACTTCTTGGGTGGCTTTGCGGTCATGAGGCCCAACACTGTAAACCAAATCCTGGATGCCCACTTCTCAGTGTTGATGAGCAATGCCAGGGACCCACAGCTGTGCTCACCAGCCTCCTCTAGTCCACACTGACCACGGGGAAGGATGTGGAGCAGAGCTCTCTGCATGATTCTTCTCCTTCACTGGGTGGGAAAGGCTGGTTGGGACACAGAGATTCCATTTATAGAGCAAGGCTCTCTCTGTATTAGTCCTTGAAGACTTGTGAGAGTCATTCTGGGTGGAAGTAATCACATATGTGGTCACTTAGGGGGGCCCAAGGGTGAACCGAAGCCTTAGTTCTGCCTGAATGTGTCCCATCCTTGCTTTAAAGGCTAATGTGGCTTTATCTCCTTAGGCAGCGAGGACCAAAAATAAACTCCTTATTTCAAAGACTGGAACATTAAAAAGCTAAAGTTAGGACATCTTCCCTGGGGACAACATCTCTTCTGTTCCATGTGCTAAAGCCATACTTGAGAAAGCTGTGGCCTATTGATAAACCCTGGGATAACATTGGGATTGACATGATATTACTCCTTGAATTAGAATCAAAGTGAGCCTTTCCAGAGCCTGGAAAATGTAAAATTGGAAGTTAACTCTTATTGAGTTTGGAAATGTAGGCAGTGAAGTTGCTCACTTACCTTCCTTTTCAAATAAGGGTTTTGTTCAAAGCCTGCTCAAGAGTGAGGTAGAAGCCATATTAGCTCATACTCAGCATTAACTGACGTCAACATCAAATGCATCTGCCTCCCTGTTCACCCACCTACCCAGAGACAGACCACCCATGGGCACCAGAATTCCTGTTCACTCACCTCCCCAGTGACAAACCAACTATGGGCACAAAAAGTCTTAGCTATTTTATGTGGCACAGTTTAATCTCAGTTTATTATAGAAAATGCGCCTTTCTACAGTGTTCCATGATTATAGCCTTTTCGTACTTGGCCCATTTAGACATTACAAATTCCACTACTTGATCAAAGATCTGAATTTCAAGTTTTCCTGTGATCAGGTTTCTAATTAGAAAATTCAATGATATAAAAAAAAATGCTAATGATCCCCACAACCTCCCAATCCAGTCCCGCCTTCTGTTGGTGACCCATATGGACACTCCAGTGTGTTAAACACCCCTCTTCTGTGGGTTCATGGAAGCGTTTCTACCCAAATAGACCTTCACAATAACTGCCACATGCAAAACTTTTCTCTGAATCTACTTAGGTCTTCATTTTTGCAAATGGACATGGACCTGTCTTGCTCCTCTTAGCTGCTTCATGGTGTCTGAAGAGGGTCCACAGGTGCATTCCTGCTCCATCATTACCTCTTATCTCTTTCCTGACTAATTCCTGATTTCTGCCAGGTCTTTCCCAGAGTGACTGAATGACCTCTTTGTACACCTGATTTCTCCCTACTTCAGCACCCACCTGATGAATTCAGCTCTTCTATTCCTCATGGGACTAGCAGATTTGAGAGCCCAACCACCCCCTTTTCATGATATGACAGGGAGGGAGACAGGATAGACTTCAGTCCCCCAGACACTGCACTGTATCATCTAGTCCTCATAGAACACTGTGAAAGAGCGGTCCATGTCTTACAGATGGGGAGATTCAGGTCAGAAAAATTAATAGCTGTTTTCATGGACTCAGAACTAAAAAATGGTACATCCAGATGACCAAGGGCAATCTCTTTGTTTCTGTGTAGAGTGTCATAGGAGCCATGGGACACTGGAGCTGAAAAGGGGGATCCTCAGACTATTTGGGGTTGTCGGTCTTCATCAGGCACCAGGAGCAGAAGGGTCTCTGCATCTACTGCACAGAGGACAAGAACATCATGATATTGGCAGTGGGCAGGGTCTAGAGATGGCTGATCAAGGTACTGGTACTAGAAGAGCTGAACTTTGGGAAAACTATTTCTGTTAAAAGATGCAGCAGAGACTCAGATGTGGACAAACTAGAAAAGTGAGCTCTTGTTAAAACAAGGGAGGAAGGGGAGGAAGCATCATGGTGGCTTCATCTATGTGAAATATTTTCCTTGGATTCACAGGAAAGGAGGCACAGGCCCTGGGGAGGAAGACAGGTAGTCAAGGAACACAGCACGGGGCCACAGGACTGTGAAGACCAAGGATATCTAATACCAAGCACTTGTGAGGCTGTGATATGACCCTTCTCCTCTCAACAGCTTCTGTGTGTTTGCACGTGAGCAAGTGGTTTTAGTGGAAATCCAGACATGCAGCTGGACTCAGTAAGAAGTCCATCTTGCACCTGGAAATGGAAAGGAGATTATTCCTATGACCTTGTCAGTTCTGATATTCACTAACTTGTCGCCCTGAGGTCAAGGATAGAAGCAATGGCAGTGGCAGTGGGGTGGGGGGGCGTTGAACTCAAAGTAATGAGAACTCCAGGCTCCAAAGAAGCATATGGCTGCAGGCGTGATCAGAGCACTAAGAGGAATGGTTTCTACTTCCTTGTTTTCTGTCATCCCCAAACCCCACCTTCATGGAGCCATGGAGATGAGGCAGCCTGGAGGAGCCAAGTCCTTCTTCTTGGCTAAGGAGGCAGAGAAAGCTGAAGAAAGACCTCGAACTGGCCTGAGGAGTAGATGTTGAGCTCAGAAAATAGACAAGGAGGAAAACCAGGGGAGGGCTTCAGAGCACCAGAGGAGGTGGGAGTTGGAATTTTCCCAGAAGTCAGTGGGAATGACTCATCTTTAGTGGTGGTGAGCTGATTGATGCTCCAGAGGTCAAATGGACGTAACTCGATTGGTTGGCAGTTTTCAGGATGCAGGCCATTAGTCGTCCTTGTGAGTGACTTGTGCTAGGGAGTGGATTGCATCCATCATCTGCCTGACGTGTGGATCCTTCCTTATGGAGGTGAGCATCCGTGTTGCCTTGCACACTGAGCACTTGTGAAGTGTTCCTGGGTGTAGAAAGCGCAGGTGTATAAGGAGCAAAATGAGTGCAGGTAGGAGAACTGTAAAAATCCCCCCTTGCCTGGACCTCCTTACCTACACCTAGAGTTTTCTGTGACACACATTTCAGTGCTCTGTCAGTCCCCCATAGCTATTCTTTGAAGACTCTCTCAGACTGCTTTGATTGTCAGGGTGTAGAAGGATGATACCCCAGGATTCCCTCAGCCCCTATAGAAGAAGGGCTGGCTTCAAAACCTAGAGAATGCATGATTGATTGCACCAAGCAGCTTGATCAGGGAATGAGCACTTCCCAGGGACACCACAGTTAACAAAAGTCTGCTCGATTCCTGAATCAAGAAGAATCTGTGCTGAATGTTAAGTGTTAAACCTAAAACTCTTACCATTGAAGGGGGCCCAGGTGTTTTTGGACCTGTGGCTACCTGGGATGGGGGGAGAATCTTTCCATTCTCTCTAAATCCCTATCCCCATTCTCATCCTCATTCCCATACCTATGGCCTCAGGCAGGTACAAGCATCACAATTAAGAAAAACACCAGAAAATTTGTAGCAATAGGAGTCTTTGCAGTCAGCTTGAATCATCCATCCCTGAACCCCTTGCTTTGTGGGAATAATTCCATGAACAGCTTACTTGGTGGGAGGAGACTGGAGCCTGGACCATCCCAGGAAGACCTTGGATGGGGAAATAAGCAAGGACATCAGGATCACTCACACCCATGTGCTCACCAGGTACAGGGAGAGGAGAGCTCCCAGCCTCTATCCTTGACGCACTGGAGATCTGAGATGCCCTCTACCTACCCCATACCCCCATGTAATTCAGCTTCTTCTCCTGAGCTATCTTTGCCTCTCAAAATCAGGTGCAGCCTGATATACTCTGTGTTGAACTTGCCAAATTTTGACTAAGAAAGTATATGTACTGCAAACCTATCAGGTTCGGGGTGAAAATGAAAATTTCACTCTCAGAAAATTTAAGAGATTCCACATTCCTCTGCTCAATTTTCCTTTGTCTTTTGGACCCAGAAGGTAGAGGGTACCCTTGGGGGAATCTCCATCCCTGCAACTGTTGGTCCTCAGTATCTGCACAGTTGCCTTGTAGCTTTCTATCTCCACCCCTGTGTCTGCTTGTCACTGAACTCACACAGGTCTCCACATGAGGGTCCCCTAGTCACTGGGTTCACAAAGCCTCTTAAAAGCATATGACAGGGATGACAATGAGCGATGGGATAAGCTTTGCTCTGTGGCATCTCTTACTGAATTCAACATCAACTTGAAATTCAGCAGCCCCAATTGCACAGAACTGTAATAGGGAAAATGCCGGCATCTTCCATGCTGATCAGCCTGACCCCTCACTACAGACAGCACCTGAATTCCCTTGATGTGGGGGACACAGCAGGCTCAACTTGGACCAACAGCAAGGACCTTGCTAAGCGCTCTGCTCTTTTGCACCTATTTTCTCCAGTGTCTCCCCAAATCTAAACCAAATTTCCCCACAGTAAAAGGGATTGTGGTGACTGTTCCTCACATAAAAGGAGCTGCCGATGAAGTTTCGTGAGTTAAACCAGCAAATAATTACTTGTAATGCAGACCTTTAGGAGCTACAAGGATTAATTCAATTCTTCACTTTTTACACTAAAACTCTTACCAGAATGTTAAGGGTAAAATTGCCCTGACTCCACTGAAGGCAAGGTGTGGGGACATCAAATTTTTTTTAGAAGCGTGTTTGAAATGCAGGAGGAAGCCTGATAAGGAACTGGACCAAAAGCAGTGTGGAGACTAATGAAATAATGGGGGAATTTTTTTAATGCTCTAGAAAGAATTGACAATCCCAACTTGGATTGGTGCCTGGCAGAGGCAAAATTTCTTCCCCTGTCACTCTGAACTATGAATCGAAACTGCTTTCAGGACAGAGATTTGGACATTCTCCATCCACCACCCAGTCAGCTCCCATCCTTCCCAAACCACGCACAGGGCAGGGAAGGCAACCCTTGGGTTGGGAATGGAGGATGTAAATCAGCACTGAGACTTCCAAAGTGACTCCAGTTGGAACATCCAGGTGGGTGTGTCAAGTCAAGAAAGTGAAAAGAGTGCCAGACGCAGTGGCACAGGACTGTAATCCCAGTGGCTCCAGAGGCTGAGGCAGGAAGATCACAAGTTCAAAGACAGGCTCAGCAACTTAGTGAGGCTCTAAGCAACTTAGTGAGAACTTATACCTAAATAAAATATAAAAGATGGCTGAAGATGTGTTTAAGGATTCCTGGGTTCCATCCTCGGCACACACTCACACACACTCGCACACATACACAAAAACAACCCAAGAGCAATGGACATACTGCTTACAGATGCAGTGCAGAATCCAGGCAGCTGCACCCTAGAGCGCTGAGCAGGGCAAAGCCAAATGGATCTCACAGAATCTGACTGTATTGAAATCTGCCTTTGAGGTATCTTTCTTCTTCTTGAGTTCTGTGCCTCAGCACTTTGGCCCTTTAAGATTTCTGACGATGAGTTACAGAAATCTTCTGCTTTCTTACTGGTACATACTAAAATGGTACATCCCAGAGATGCTGGCATCTCATGCATTTAGGGTAATATCAGGTACTCCTGAGGCTCCGTGATGTCACTGTGAGAGCTACTATGTGAAGAAAAAGGATGCCCCTCCTCCTCTGCTCCTGCTCACAAGGACCCTGCCCTGGTGAAACTCCCCACTTCCTGACCTGCCATGGGCACCAGGCTCCTCTGCTGGGTGGCCGTCTGTCTCCTGGGAGCAGGTAAGTCCTCAGAACATCAAGCGGTTTCATTGTGGCGTGTGTGTGTGTGTGTGTGTGTGTGTTGACTAACTTTATTTTTTCTATTCTACTCTCCATTTCTGTCTCCACAGACCACACCCATGCTGGAGTCTCCCAGTCCCCCACACACAGGGTCACAAAGACAGGACAGAATGTAACTTTCAGATGCGATCCAATTCCTGAACACAATGTTCTTTACTGGTACCGGCAGACCCTAGGGCAAGGCCTGGAGTTTCTGATGTATTTCCAGAATAAAATTGCAGCAGACAAGTCAGGGATGCCCAGTGAGCGGTTCTCTGCTGAGAGGCCACAGGGATCCTTCTCCACTCTGGAGATCCAGCTCACAGTGCAGGGGGACTCGGCTGTGTACCTCTGTGCCAGCAGCTTAGACACAGTGTGGCACAGGCTCCTCCTTCCTGCTCACAAACCCCCTGTGCTCAGCCCTCCTCATGTTCTCAAAGCTCTGCAGGAGGGAGTGTCTCTTCCCTCATGGAAGGGAAAGAAGCATTTGGATTTTCAGGGGTTCTTCCAACAGGAGGAGGTCAGGAAGTGACCCTGAATTACTAGGACAGATAATGCTGGATAGAGAAAATTCTGGTGAATACTTTCTGGTGTTCTTCAGCTTTAGACAAGATTCAACCATTGGCTTTGAATACTGGAGCTTGGTTTCAGGGATAGTGACAACCACAAATTTTTAGTACATTTATGATCACCTCTTATGCTGAATGTCTAACTCAGACCTTGCTATACCAAGGAGGGAACCAGCAGAACAAAGCCATGGTAAGGCACTGGCAGAACCAGCCTTAAAAAACAAACTGGAATCCTCAGTAAGAATTGCCATCATCAATTATTCAGAAGCCCCTGCCCCCACAGTCATGCACATTAACCCATGTCCTCACGCTGCTTTGTAATTTCTTTTGACAATCCAGTCATTCAGAGTTTAATTTTCTTCTTCTCCAGTCTAATTTCCTTTTAGAAACTCACTGCTAGCTTGATTGCATACAATACAACCTCACTTGAGAAGGTGTTAAAGGGAAGTGATCAAAACCCTAACATATTTATATCCACCAAGCAGGATTCTTTGAGGTTTCCATAGTAATTTTTAGAAATTTACACCCCAGCAGAAGCATGTTAGAATGGGTGGAATACTCCATAGTACTACATTCATCATAAGCCTTTCATTGTGTATGTGTGGGTCTGTTTTCAGGGTCTCTGCCTGTTCAACTGGTCTTTTTGTCACTTCTTGTTCTATCAACACACTGTCTTATATACTGGTTTATGACAGTTCTTGGCATCTTGTATCTAATTCCTTAAACTTGACCCTGTTGTTTCTTTTTGTTTTTCATGCTTATTTTAGGATCCTATTGCCAAAGTCTTCAGGAAAAGCAGATGCCTGTCAGGAAGTTTGGGCTTTTTGATTTTAATGGACTTAAATGCATCACAGGACAAAGCTAAGAATATTAGCAAGAACACTAAGATAGCCAGCACTCAGAACTGTAAAATGCACAATATTGGGCATCTCATCAAAGAGGACAGCCAGGCAGGCAAAGAAGGAGGAAAACATGATCCCCAATGAGGGGTGGGGGGTGGGGGGAATTGGACAAGCCAGCAGTGACAAATGCCAGGAGAAGATGCAAACACAGTGTAGAAATGTAGCCCAATGTTCAAAGTTTTGTGGAGATGAGAAAATACAAAAACATCCGAATCAAACTTCTAGAAGTAAAAATTCCAAGATCTGTAAAAAAAATTCTTGACGGAATTAACAGCCGATTAGGCATGAAAGAAGGAAGTAAGTGAATTTGAAGATAAATCAATATAAAATCCATAATGAAACATAAGAAAAAGGTCTTAAGTGAGCTGGGAATTTAACTTAAGTAGCCTAACATGTAATTGGGGACACTAAGAGTATTTTTTTTTAATCTAAATTTCTTTATGGGATAATTGACTATCTACCAAAATAATTTTAACATCTCTCAGGATTTATAATGTATGTGAAATTAAATCTATTGAAACACTAATATAAATATAAAAGATAGATAAATAAATAAATATTATAAGATTGTAAAGCTTTCCCAATCTCCGTGAGGTTACTTGAGGATAGGCTATGTTAAAATGGAGACTTTTACTGCAAACACTGAAGGATACGGAAGATGACAACCCTCAGGACAGAGAAATGACAACCCCCAAAACTGTCTGACCAGAGAAACAGAAGGATAAAGGCAATCATTAATCCTTTCCCAGTGAATCCATTCCCAGTAACAATGGGCCCTGAAGGAAAAAGCAAACTTTCATCCTTTCCTGGGTTCATCTCCAGTCTCCACCAAAAACATTCATCCCTTCCCAACCACAATGGGTCCTGAAGGGAGGAGGTGGATACTGGGTCCTGGAAAGAGAAAAGTAGTGAAACTCTGGGTAACAATGGGTCCCAAAGGAAGAAGATAAACAAAACTCCAGCCAAGTTCTGAGCTTTCATCCCTTTAGGGTTTGTAAGCAAAAATAACCAACATGGTTTCTGCACCATTATAAAAACAGTGAGTAACAGGGAGTTTTGGAATTTTTACAACTTTTTTCCTGGCTGCCCAAACCAACACATTTTGCTTGAGTCTCCAATGATTAACTCACCTGACCTATAAAACTCACTCCTCCTGTAACTGGCAGCCATTTTCTACCCAGAAAGTCCGCCCCCCACTGACTGACTCTGCTGCCGAATAAAGGAAAGCTTGCTGACCCTGTTGAAGTGGGCTTCGTGTTTTTATAATGGTGAAGAAATCATGTTGGTTACTTTTGCTTACAAACCCTAAAGTAACCATTAAAATAACAAGGCTCAGAGTTTTAGCTAATGAGCTAACACAAAAAGAAGGGATTATAAAAGTGCTCAATGAATTCAGAGGATAGTATTTTAAAAAGGAACAAAGAAGAGATGGGACCAATAGAAACCAAATACAAGATGACAAGATACTCATGTAACCAGACCAACAATCACATTAAATCTAGTCTCAGTGCCCCAACTACAGAGCACAGACTATATTGTTGAACAAAAAAATTTAAAAAAAGATATTTCTTCTACCAGAAAGGCTTTATGTGTGTGTGTTTGTGTGTGTGTCCTATAAATATAAAGAACTAGAATGTAAAAAGTAAAAAGATGAACCATGTTAATATTAAGCATAGGAAAGCTAAATTCACTATATTAATAGCAAACTAAATTTCAGAGCAGGGTATATCATCCGGAATAAAGAAGGTCATATGCCAATATTGAAAGGAACAATCTTTCAAAAAGTCAGAGCAGTCATAAATAAGTATATATCTCATAGCAGAGCTTCAAAATACTAAGCAAAAACAACTGCAAGAAAAACAGACAAATCCATGTTAGAGGTTTTGGTGAAATTTCTTTTAGTGATTGTTTCAACAAGTGGAGAGAAAAACAAAACATCAGTTAGTATAGAGAAGACATGAACAACTGTCAACCAACTTCACTCACTGACATTTACAGAATACCTAATCAATAGCAACAGAACTCAAACGGGATTCTCTTTTCCTCCTTTGCATAGTTATAATCTTCAGTTAGATGCAACTGTGATTATGGACTATAAACTCTGAACTGTTAGATGCACATCAACATATTTAGAAATGCTCAAGTCATACCAAGGGTGTGATCTGACCACAGTGGAACTGAATTAGAGAACAATATCCCAAATATCTTTGTAAAAATTCCAAAAATGTCAAAATTTGAGTTATAACCTGAACAAAAATGAAGCTACAATATATCAAAGTTGGTGGGATGTCACTAAAGTAATAATTGGGGGAAACTGAGGAACAGCCAATGATATTCTGTTCATTGTGAGGCCAGTGATAATCTGGTATCAAAGTCAGAGATGTTATGATAAAGAAAAACTACAGATTACTCTCCCTCATGAGCACAGATTCAGTGGTCCATTGAAGATGACAGCATGTGAATCCAACAGTATTTAAAAAGAATAATATATCATGACACAGTGGATTTTAACTTTAATGCAAATGTTTATCATTTAACTTAACAAAAGAAACCATAGATGTATATAAAACATTGAACAGAATTCAATGTCCACTTCTGATAAAAAAAAATATTAGCAGATTCTAGTCATACAAAACTTCCTTCCTGTAATAAAGTGCATTTAAGGAAAACTTTTAGCTAAATGAAATATTTTGTAGATAAATTGCAGTACATCAGAGATACATATTATACACTAGGAAGTAGAAAAAAAAAATAGGATTTTCAAAAAAAATGGTACAGGAAAACCTCTATAATAAAATGAAAAATAATTAATCACAATCTTATTCCATAAGATAGACATGGCAAACTATTACACAAGAACCAACTTCCACCTGTGCTTGTTTTCCATGGTGTTTACATTTTTGACGGCTTTTGTATTACAATGACAAAGTGGAGCAGTCAGGACACACTACGTGATGTGTAGAACGCTTTACAGAAAAAGTCTGCTGACCCTCGTCGTAAGCAAAATTTATAGTGAGATGTTTCAAAGTTCTTGATGATCTAAAAATTCAACTATAAATCTCCTGAAAGAAATCCTAGCAAACTCTCTATGATCCTGGGGAGGATGCAGATTCAATAAAGAGACAAAAATATCCTGTCCCTAGAAAATTAAACTGCTTCTTATCAATTTTTTGATAAAAGTTCTTGAAAAGAGATCACTAAGTACGTCAAAGACGTATACATACATATATAATACTTAATGATTTACTTTCATATATACTTATAATGCAAAGAATTCCTACAAATCAATCATAAAGAAGACTAACAATTCAATCTGAAGATAAAAAACAGAGAGAGTAAAAGAGTTTGGAAGAGAGTATTCAAAAGAAAGAAGATGTGTAGGGAGGCATGTTCCTGTTCCTGGGACTAGGTGGTTTATGTCCCAGCTGCTTAGAGGCTCATTGAAGATAGAAGACCACGATCACCCTCTAGGAGATGCCTTGGTTTTCCCGGATCCTGTTCTATTCCCAGGCAGCTGGCCTCTAATGATTGGCAGGCATCTCCTTTCCTACAAGATTACTTGGTAAAATTTAAATATTTACCAATTAAATTTACTCCCTTTCTCAGAAAAATGAAGGAGCTTGCTTCTTGCCTCCCTCACTCCTAGGTGACAGCTGAGTCTACAGCAAGTTAATCAAATCTGTGGGTGCTCTGCTGTACCCTGCAGTTCCTGAGGCCTCATTTAGAAAGCCATATCTCCCCAGCCAGCCTCCCTACTGTTACATCCTAGAAACTGCACAGTGGCCACTAGAGGGCACTGTGGGTCCACTGAGTGAGCTGCAGCCAGTGCTTCTGGAAGAGGGATGGCTCAAGGGTCTTGGCTGGGGGCCTGCATGAGGGATAACACCTGAGGAGCCAGACAGGAAGGATGAGTCATGGTCTCCACATATCCCATGATGTGCATGTGAATCACTCATGGTAGGAAGCCATGAACTGCACCTTGGTGAATCAAGGCTTCTCTGGGAGCCTGCATTTGACAAGGGGTATGATGGGGCTCCAGGGGCAGCTCACACCACCATCCAGGTGGAGAGAGAGAAGCCCCTGAATCACAGGAAAGTTGGAGACCTGTGGGCATGGACTTCCATCCCACACCCTGACCTGCCCTGCTCAGCACAGCCAGCTGCCCCTGCTACACAAAATCACCACAGAATGGGGAAAGGACTGCATCAACTGAGCATACCCAGGGGCTGCAGGGGGCCTACTGAACCCACAAGGACACTGGCATCAGAACGGTGACATGACTGATGTCACCAAAAACCCTCCAAACAGAGAAAAGGGAGGAGCCAAGTGCCTGCTCTCAGCCCAGGAGACCAGCACCCTGAGTGCAAAGATGCTTAGACCTGTCCTTCCTGACCTTGCCTGGGGACCCAGGTTCCTCTCCTACATCATCCTTTGTCTCCTGGGAGCAGGTGAGTCCTGAGCACAGGGGACAGCCCCTGGAGCCACAGTCCTTCCTTGTTGATTTGGATCAAACTCCTCCTTGGGTTAGGTGTTCACTCCTGTCTCCTTCCTCCCCAGGTTCAGTGGATGCTGAAGTCATCCTGTCCCCGAGACACCTAATCAGAGCAAAGGGAGGAAAGGGCACTCTGAAGTGCTATCCCATGTCTGGACACAGAAGTGTGTCCTGGTACCAGCAGGCTCCTGGTCAGGGGCCTCAGTTCCTTGTTGAGTATTATGAAAAGATGCAGAGGGACAAAGGAAACCTCCCTGATAGATTCTCAGCTGAGCAGTTTGATGACTATCACTCTGAGCTGAACATGAACTCCATGGTGCTGGGGGACTCAGCCACGTATCTGTGTGCCAGCAGCTTGCACAGCCCTGCAGAGCCACTGGCTCTCTGTACCCTAACCTTCCTGTCCCTGCTGAGGCTGCACTAGGGAGGGGAGGTGGAGTTGCCACATAGATTTAGCCAAGTCCTGTGGATGCTTCTAGCCCTTTTCCAGCCCTCAGACTGCCCTTCTGAGCTCAGCCAGACTGTACTCCTGACATTTATGTGTCAGGTCCTCTGAATATTCTCACATCTTAGCCCACACCCTCCCATCCATAGCAAGTGGAAGGAGCCCCCACTCTGTGCTAGAGTGTGATCATTTAGGATGAGTTTGGTAAGGATAGACACTAGTGACCACTTTATAGGTAAGAATGATCTCAGTTTATCACTTTATGTGTAGCTTATTAACTCTCCCAATACTTCGTGCTTACAAGTGTCAGAACCAGGATAGAAACCTATATCTATGCTTCAAAACTCAAAATTCCTCTGAAATCCCATGATGCTCCTTGGTCTTGATCAGGCATGTGTAACAGAGCAGAGTCTCCTCGTTGTAGACTAGCCGAGCAGCAGTGTGAACTCATACTACGGGATGTGGTTAATACGGTTTATGGCCTGTTAACTTCTAAGTCACGTAGTATTAAGCCAGGGAATGTTTGTCCAGTCATGGTTCCCAGATGAAGTGTACATTCCAACAACAGAAAATTTGTGATTTGATAATTAATTAAAAATAAATGAAAAGGACATATTCCTGGTGGATGCTTATCTCCCCCCAGGAATTTCAAGCATTGTTTGGAAGACTAACATTATTCGTAGGCCATGCCTTATTTTGGAAATGATGCTCAGTGCCAGGACATTCCATGTGTCCTTTGTTGGAGGCTTGTGGGGCCAGCTGAGCTCTGAACACAGATGGGAGAGCCCTTCCTGGGCTGGCCAGCCCCTGCCACAGCCTCCCTGTGGGTGCTGACTGACCTCCTCTTATTCTCTCTTTCTGGTCCTGTGTCCTTTCTCACTAGAGCAGGATTGTGGAGAGTCCCCATCAAGAACCCACCATGGTGTGGAGTCACAGAGGAGGCCTCATCGGGAAATATGGCCCATATAGGAAAGAACAATATACAAACTATTGAGTAGATGTAAATTTTGTAAGATAGCAAATGTATGATGAAGCCAATATTCTTCTATTGGGTTAATAAAAGATCTTGAGAATGAGGACAGTGTTTTCCTGTGGCCTGCAGCCACCAGACATGTAATTCTTGTCAAATATCACATCCACATCACTAATGAGCTTTCTCTTTAGACATGAAACATGCTCAAGAGGGATTGGCCGTCCAAAGTCCATGGTGTCACTGAAACAAAAGGAGAATTCATATCCATAGGGACACACTGAGGCCTGTAGACCATCCTGGAAGGCAGGGCTGAATTGGTGTGAAACAGCAGAAATCAGTTCTTAAATTGTAATGCCCCCTTACCTTGGTGCTTTAAAACCTTTCTAGAGGTTTGGTGGCTCATGTAGCCAAAGATAGCACTGTGGACTAAGGCCAACTCCCAGAGTTCAGCCAAAGAGAAAAACTCAGAATACTTGGAGATGACTTTTGAGCAGAAAACCTACAGGCAGCACCAGAACTGGCATGAGAATGTTCCTTGGGCTGCAGAAATGTTTGGAATTATTCCAAGAATGTATAGATAAGGGGCTGTATCATAATGGAAATAAAATGTGCCCAGGGGAACAAATATCCTGACTAAAATGAAGGAAAAGCATATGGACTTGTCATTTAAAACAGACTACAAATTATTTCTATTCTGAGTTGTTAAATTGTGTATATATACCATAAATGGTCATTATGTACAACACAGAATTAAATTAATATTCATAAATTATATGTAAAACTAAAAATTGATTTCTTTCTGTAGGAAGGGGTGTGGCAGGTTAATTATGCAGCTCATGCATTTGTAAGGGACAGTGACATCATTTGACTCACTTGAAGCCCAATTTCTACTTCCCCTAAATAGGACTCAAAGCTGCAAGATTCTGCATTGGTCCTAAAATGGGCACCAAGCTTTTCCTCTGTGTGGCCTGCTGTCTCCTGTGGGCAGGTGAGTGCTGGCCATCGGGGGCTTCCTTATCGGGAATTACAAGGCCTCAATCCGAGTCTTTCTCTTGAGGTGACATCGTCAGGCTCTGTCCTTCTCTACTATAGGACACTTGGAGGCTGAAATCACCCAGAGCCCAAGACACATCATCACAGAGACAGGAGAAAAGGTGACTTTGCGCTGCCACCAGACCTACAACTATGAATACATGTACTGGTATCGCCAAGACCCAGGGCAAGGGCTGCAGCTGATCCATTACTCATATGGTGTTGGCAACACTGCCAAAGGAGACGTGTCTGACGGGTACAGTGTCTCCAGATCAAACAAAACAGACTTCCCCCTCACTCTGGAGTCGCCCACCCGCTCCCAGACAGCTGTGTACTTCTGTGCCACCAGTGACAACACAGTGCTACAGGGTCACCTCCTCTCTGCACATAAAGTATAAATAGGAAGACCAGGAAGCTCCCATCACCCAAGAGTCACAGAGCCCTTGCCAGCCTGGGGACCTCACAGCCTGGGCAACAGGCCCTCAGTGCTGAGGTTCTCCCCTGCCAGTCTCAGCCTGACCTCAGACCTCCCTGCCCCCTTAGTTTGCTGCTGCTCTCTTCAGCAGCCCTCTCTTTCTACCTGCAAAAGGAAAATGCATCTTAGTGGAGGTTCCTGTTGAAGGCCTTGCCAGTCTCAAGGCCACCAACTTCTCACCCCAGGGCTTCAGTGTCTTCCTCATCCTCCTATAGGCTCTTCTACTTCAGCCCTGGTCTCCTCCCCCATGACCTCTTCTCCTGGCTGCCTCCATCCTGGGGGGAAGCCCTAGGGGTCTGTGTCATGTGCCTTCCTGTCTCTCCATCCTCCATGCACCTGTCCCCTGGCTGTCAGCTCCTGTCACACTCTCCTCTGTATTGTTATTTTCCCCCTGGGAATCTTCCCCGCCCCATGGGCTTCTTTCTGCACTAGACTTATGTCCCTCCCTCTTTTTGTTTTTTAAGTTTTTTTGTAGTTGTAGATGGACAGAATACCTTTATTTTATTGGTTTATTTTTATGTGGTGCTGAGGATCGAACCCAGTGCCTCACGCATGCTAGGCAAGCGCTCTGCCACTGAGCCCCAGCCCCAGCCCTATGTCCCTCTCTCTTATGCCTGAATGTTTACATCATTTCTCATATGAAAATATACTTCAGATACATTTTTTAAATTATGAAAAGGAAAACTTGAATTTCACAAGAAAAAAATAAGGGAAATATTTTTAGCTTTCATTGAGGGATAATTTTTTTTCAGAGATACAAGAACATAAGTCATAAAGAACAATTTTATCATTTCAGTTTAATTTAATTAAATTGTTCATGTCAAAGTGTACTATAGAAAATGAAAAGTCAAGCCACGGAACGGCAAGAGAATGAGGAAGGCATACAAGTGAAGAATTCCTGAAAAGGAGGCCATCGCCCCAAGGTGGCCTCCAGCCTCACTTGCAGTTGGAGGGCCAGGAACCTATCACCACGTTCTGAAATGGGGATGTGGGTAAGGGCAATATAAAACATTCCCATGTCTGGCCCTTCGAAATGTCCCGTGGCACTCTGTTGGGGCTCCCTAATCTCTCATTTTTGGAGATTTGATAGATTCATGGCTAAGACTTATCATAGTGACATAGCATGTTCAGCAGCAGATCACAGGGAAAGACACTAGGGTGGCATCTGGAGGTACCCATGCTCAGACTTCCCTGTGCTCAGACTTCCCTGTGCTACCCTCTTCCCAGGAGGGTACACACAGAGCTTATTCTCCCACATCAGCTAATGGTCAAGAACGTGTGTGCGATGGTTTTGACAATGGACCACAGAGACTTGGTGTCCAAGAGATTTTATTGAAAGCTGATCACAGAGGCCTTCTTTCCCTACTATGCACCAATAACATAGGCCCCAAATATTATATTGGTATTCAATATAATGTAGTTTGCTCCAACAGTCTAGGCACAATGACTCATGATCCTCAGTTGAGAAAATTTTATTTCAGTATAGAAAATAATAATTTCCCCTCTTTCTAGCGGGCAGGGGAGAGGTGACACAGGCAGTTTAGAGAAAGCAGATGATGTGTAGAAAGATGAATCAGCCTACAGAAGAGTAGGTGGTCATCATTTTTAACAGCTGAGCTCTCAGACAAAAGTCAAATGTGCAAGCAGGATATTCTAAATACAGCAATACTTCAAAAAATGGCAATACTTAATCTAAATTTACAATTCACATAGAGTATGTAGGAACCTCCACTACACATATAAATAGATTCGCAACCTTCCTAGAGTCAAAGTATTGCAAGCTGAAACAATGGGGCATGACTTCAAACTCACCAGCTTGGAAATTTTTCGAGAGTGACTATCCAACATATAAGTAGAGATGTAAACTAGTAAAAACTCTCTTACACTATAAAACAAAATTGCAGCTGTATCAGAAAACCTTCTGTGGGGTGTGATAAATTAACTGTGTCTTTAGGTGCCATCATGGAGAACTCAACCATTATTATTTATTTTTTCTCTTTTGAAGATAGTCTTTTTTCAACTTCTTGAGAATTGTAGGAAAAAAAGTAACATTTTTTTTAATCTATTGTCAGGGAAGGAAGATTCTCTCCTGTCTATATTGATTCTATGAAATATTTGATTCTATGAAATAAACTGACAACAGACAGATAAGCAGGAGAAAACATCTACAAACTTGTGACATGCCTGGGGACATCAAGTGAAAGGGAAATGAATACCCAGTGAATTCTAGGACTTACACACCCTCTTTCTAGCGGGCAGGGGAGAGGTGACACAGGCAGTTTAGAGAAAGCAGATGACGTGTAGAAAGATGAATCAGCCCACAGAAGAGTAGGTGGTCATCTGTGACAGTCTACCTGGGTGTGGTATGGACCCCAGGCCCTCCCCTCTGATTCAGGTTAATCTTCTCTGGTTAACAGGATTCCTGGGAAGGGGACTCATGGCGACTGACTTCCTTTTGGAGGATCTAGGCAGATAAAAGGAGTTCAGAGAAGTCCTCCCCTGCACTTGCTGCTCTAGGTAGGTTGAGGCAGGGAAAATCTCTTGAACTGAGGAGTTTGAAACTTGCCTGGGCAACACAGTGAAAACCCATATCAAATGAGTAAATAAATAAATATATCAATAAACAATCAAATGAAAGAGGTCTGTCAACCAAATGAAATATATAATCTTTAATTTTATTATGGAAGAAAGATAAGACCTATAAAGTTCACTTTGGGACAACTGGAGAAATTAAAATATGAAGTCTATTTTATATGATATTTATATGAATGTAAAATATTACCATAATGATGACACCTATAGTTATTTAATAGATGCCCTTTTCAGAAGAGTAAAATATATAAAGAGATGAAGTAAATATTACAAAATATTAATAATTTGTAAATAGATGTATGTGTTAACACTCTTATATTCTTTTGACTTTTCCATGGGTATTATTTTTTTTTTTTAAGTAAGAAGCTGTAGCAAAAAAAACCCTTAAGATTTAAAAATGCTGACATTATTTGGTCTGATGGGAAGTATTTCTTATACTAACTTTTAATACTTTTTAAATATTCTATAATTACCACAAAACAATGCACCAAGGCTCTTTTTCTGGACATGTTGTGATTTTTTTTTTTTCCAAAAGAAAAAGTCATGATATTTTTTAAAGCCACAAGATAAGAATGTTTGCAGTTTGAGGAGAGAACAGCTCTCCATGTCTGAGATGAGCACCAAATTTTGTCAGCAGTGTCCACCAAGAGGCCTTTTAGTAAATATCAGGCCATTTTCATCTGTCAAGAGATTCTGAGTACTCCAGAGGTTGGTTAATTTCTCCTAAACTTTATGAAGTCAGCTGAATGTAAATAGGGGAAGCGTAATGTTTATCCCAAGATATGGCAGGACAGAACGATGTATGTGCAAGGGGAGGGGCCTCTAGGTGGATCTTGGAGCAGATGGAGCTGGGAGGATTTTTCCTAGTCCCTCCTAATACTGTCTGTCATCAGTCTTGATTCTAATGCAAGTAGCATAATAATTGCAGCAGTCTCCCTGGGCCAAGCAGGGAGGTCCTCAGCCCAGTGCATCTGAACCTTGGGTCATCAGGAGTCATGGATTTGGTAGAGCTGACATATATTTGAAACAGGACCTGGTGCTGCCTAAGAAGTTGAGTTTAAAGGAAAATTGTGGCTTCATCCTAGCATCCAGTAGCTGTTTTGCAGGTGGTATGAGTGGCAGTGGAATAGGAGGTACTAAACAGGGGCTCTTCCTCGACTAATACAGGTAGGCTGTGTTCCACAGTGAAACATGAACTGTAGTGAATCACAAGGTGGAGAATATTCTCAGCCCATGTGGTAGGCAGATGGTGGGCCAGGAGCTGGGACTCAACCCTCAGAAACCCATGCAAAAGAAGGAGGACTAATTCAGGGAATGGCTGAGAGGCTACAACTCTGCACCTGTACCCTTTCCTAATACCCCTTGGACAATGTGCAGGAAGGTGGAAGGGATGTGTGGGTGGTGCTAAGAAGCTGATTCTAGATGTTGCCAGATAGGCATGCCTGAAATTTCTGGCATTTTAAATAAGATTCAGACTTCCCAGAACTGCCCTCATTTCTCTCTGAACAGCAAGATGCCTTATTCCTGCACAGACAGGGATTCTGTCATGGATTCCCTCAGTCATGCTCCCCAGGAGGCAGCACATGGAAACACATGGGAAAATTCTTCCCTGGAATTGGCAGACCTTGATTTCAAGTATTTCACATGTAGCCTGATGGGACTTGTCTTCAGCTCCACCTAATGCTGTTGTCAAAACAATGGAAAAGTCAAAGGAATAGAAGAGTATTAACACATACCTCTGTGTACAAATTGTTAACATTTTGTAATATTTGCTTCATCTCTAAATATATATTTTACTCTTCTGAAAAGAGCATTCTTTTACATAACTATAGATGTCAATATTTATATGAATGTAAAATATTATGGTAATATTTTACATTCATATAGATATTACATAAAATAGACTTCATATTTTAATTTCTCCAGTTGTCCCAAAGTGAACTTTATAGGTCTTATCTTTCTTCCACAATAAAATCAAAGACTGTATATTTCATTTGGTTGTCACTGTGTATTTCATCTCTCTGTCAGAGGTTGGAATGAGTCGTGAGCCCGTGATGGGAACACACTGGACATCATGGTCATCAACATAAATTGACCTCACACCACACCAGGGAAACAGGTGGTTCTGGTAACTCTGCACTTACTGAGCTTCACCAGACACACCGTCCTGTGCCCCCATGTTTGGGCAGGTTGGCAGAATCCCTAGTCACAGAGCTGTGCTGTTCCTGTTGGTCCTTGTCTTGTTATGTCATAACAACTCTTGGGGCTCCACTTCCCGACACTTTCCACTCCACCACTCAGGCAGTTTGAAGATTCCAGAAGGTCTGTTCAATCTTGCATTGATGGTTCCAATATCCACACCAATCAGGTCAGAGATGGGAAGGTTCTCCCCACTCCCTAGGTGACAAAGCAGACCTGACATCTACTTCACTGGTGACCTAAAAGAGTAGGCAGTGCCCTGACGAAAACTCTTGTCCCTAATGAGAATTAAGGTGGTAAAACGAGGACAACAGGCGTCAGACACAGTAAACCTTCTAACTCGATGCTCAGGGCATCATCTGACTTCGGCTTGGAGCACGTCGCTGCTGGGATAAAGCTGTCAAAGCTGCTCCAGTCCCCACCT